CCAGAAGGACATTTCTTTCATCAATGGGACACAGCTCCTAATGACACAAAGAGGGAGGTGTCCACATTGATGGAGGCATGGGCAAAGAAGATGTGGTCCATCATCCCCAATGGGAACCATGTGGAGCATCATCCTCGACACAAACTTCCTGCTGCAAATGTGGTTGCTGGACAAATTTCCTTCTTCCTCTTGACTGACCAGGAGACCCGAAGAGAGTCGGTGGAGAGAAGCATCTGGAGTGGAGTTGAAGGACGCTAAGAGATGGGAAGGACCCAGCAGGAGCCCCATTTCCACGAAAAAGGACCCCCTCCATGGACCCAGAAAGAAAAACTTTGGGGGAGCCCCTGCATTCTGACCCACCCTTGGAGTATAAGCTACTGAATTCCATATCTCCCTCCTCTGGATGATAGCACATGATTTCTCTTCTCCTCTGGCTTTTCAGTACAGAGCTGGCTATTCTGAGTCTCACAAGTCCCCCTGATCTCCCCCCCCCAAAAAAAGACACGGCCTCTTTCGTAAAACAGGAGGGGATTAATTGACACAGAAATGCTCCCCCCTCTCTGAATCCAGGCGTTGCCCCTGGAAGGTGATGCACAGCAACAATCCCCAACATTTTGGGCACAAGGGATGGACTCCATGGAGGGCTTTTTTCCACAGACCAGGTGGCCATGGTTTCACACATTTCCTGGGTCCTACATGTACACAGATGAAGCTTTGCTCACTTGTGCAGCCTGGTTCCTGGTGGGCCACAGCCCTCTGCCAGTCCATGGCCTGTGAGTTGGGGACTCCTAGTGTAGAGGATTACAGAGAGGGCCTTGCAGAAAATATGTGGCAGCTGATAGGAAACCACAGTATCATGCCAGGAAAACAGGTACGGGTGAGAAAGAACCTCAAGGCTGCCCTGCCTTGATGCTCTTTGGTGCCAAAGGGAGCGAAGGGATGATGCTTTCAAGATTCTGCTACTATAACCCATATCAGTAAAGTCAAACTCTAACACAGGTCTGAGACTAAAAGCTGTTTGATTATTTTCATCTAATTTCCATGTATTTTGGTGTGCTGAAAACAAATAAAACACACACACATAGACACAAACAGACAGACCAAAAATTGTGTTTGTGTCTCCGACTTCATCTGGATAACTGCTGCACAATTGCTCGACAAGTTTCTATTTCCTTGGGATTGGCGGTGGGTGGGTTGGGATCCAGTTATGGGGAAGGGTACAGATTGGGTGGGTCACAGTGAAAGGCAGACTGTGAACATTGGTGAAGACAAGCAGAGCAGAAGATCTCCTGATGGTAGAATTGGGGAATCTCAGAGCCAAAAGGGACCCTTGAGGGCTTCTACTCCACAGATGGAGCCCCCTGTGGCCAGCCGAGTCTTTCAGAGGTCAGCTATGGGCATCTGAGAACCATCTGAAGCCACCCCAATTACTGGGCCATGGATAACGGACACTGTCACTCTATACACCAGACCTTTGGGGATGCTGCAGTCCTGGCCAGGTGATGTTGGGGGTCTGCTATGAGCTGGCTCACCTCACACATTGGCCCTTTCCCCAGGATACACCTGTTGAGGGGATTCAGGGCCCACTAACATTGGAGACCCCCAAAGAGAGAGCTGTGGTGTGGCCCCAGAAGAGAATGTCTGGTCCTGGGCTACTGGATTTGGTGGGTGCTGCAGGCCTGGCCAGGTGATGTTATGGGGGTCTCTTATGTGCTGCCCCACCCCCACCCATCCTGTCCCATATCCCTGGGAAACACTTGGAGATGAGATTCAGGGCCTGCTAAAGTTGGAGATCTCAAGAGAGCTGTGGGATGGCTCCAGAAGGGAATCTCCACTTTCTGGGCTCTTGGGTTTGGTTGGGCCTTGTAGCCAGCTGGGATTAGGGCTCTCAAATCCCACAAGTTGGAGGGTCCTCATTTGCATCTCCAATTCTCAAGGAGGTTTTTTTTTTTCATTGTTGTTTCCCCCCCTTCCTGATTTGGGGGTTCCGTCTCTTGGAAAGAAACTCAGATGAGAACGGAGTGGTTTAGAGACCCATCGCAGGCCTTCTGGAGAGCCTCCACCAGTGGTGGGATTCAGCCGGTTCGCACCAGTTTGGCAGAACCGGTTGTAAAACTCTCTGAGCAGTTTGAAAAACTGGTTGTTGGAAGAAATCATTAGGACAGAGAACCGGTTGTTAAATTATTTGAATCCCACCACTAGCCTGAACTAGAATTTAGGGGATCGGGTGGAGACGGAGTGACGTTTGCACATTTAGGAGTGGAGGGTGGGTACGGGGCTCAGCTGAGGTAAGTTTCAATTTCCTTCGGTAGGGACTTCAGAAAATAGTCCAATACCCCCACCCCCACCCCATGGAAATCAGATGCTAGCAAAGCCTTGGGTTATTGGGGTGTCCGAAGGAAGCTCTGGGGTCACCCGGAGACATGACCCAGCTGCTCAGATGACTGGGAGGGTGGAGCGCTTCTCTCTTTTTTTTGAAATTTTTTTATTGTTTTAATTAAACAAAAATACAAAAAAAGAATCATCTTTCATTACATCTTGTAGAAAGCGAATCGATTAGTTACAAATACATTTTGTGCGTTTCTTCCACAATTATTACATATACTTCATTCAAATTGAATTATACCTTTTAAAATGTATGTATTTTACTATCACTGTATGGCAATTCTCATTTAGTTACAATTATTTCAATGTGCTTTTATCTAAAATCATTTGTGTTTAAAGACACAACCACCACTGGCATACATTCGCAATCTCAATAAACCTCCAATGACTTTACACCTTTATAACATATTCTATAACAAAATCAGTTAGTAGGATATCTAACATTCCCTCCCCCTTCCCCCCCAACTCACAAATTAAAACTTATGTCCAATTTGCTTTTACTGGTACAACACATATGTATATATCATTAAACATTATCCATTAACATTTCCTTGTTATTATTGTAGTTAGCTAAAAATTATTTACTATTTGTATCACCTCTCCTCTCCTCAGGCCCAAAAGAGATGATACCTTTATAGCAAGCTCTAAGCAAGAATTTATTAATAAGATTTATAGGTCTTTTCCCTAAGTCCCACATTACAATTTATATCCAAGTTATTTTAACTAATTAAGGTTGTCATTTCATTATTATTATCGTAATTAATTATATGTTAACAAAATGAACATTTAATAAGAATCTAAAACAATCTACAAAATGCTAACATTCCTACTTATTAATCACCAAAAGTATTAATTAACATTTCCTTATTATTATTGTGATTAACAAAAAAAAATATTTACTATTTATATCACATCTCCTCTCTTCAGACCCAAATTAAGTATACCTTCATAACAAGTTCTAAACAAAAAATTATTAATTAAATTTATAGGTCTTATCACCAAATCCCAATTTACAATTTATGNTGGTCTTTCTTTATAACCTCTAAAAATATCATTAATTTCCTCTTGTGTTCATTTAGAGTAATATGATTTATTGTTTCTGTAAATAATGGTAAAATTGTTTATTTGTACCATAAGTTCTTCGTTTTAACTTCATCTCTTTGAATTATTTTAATATGAAATCAAAAAACAAATAAAACAATTAAAATTGTGAAAAAATACAAGCAGTTGTAACACTGAAAAACTAATAGTATCTCAGTGAGAGCCTGGACACACATAATACTTTTTCAATGCCCCTGGAGATTTTTGTTTTTTTATTATCATTCTTTATCATTTGTTATGAATTGATGACCTCTGAACAAACTCTTTTTTTCCCTTCTGTTCAACCCTGTCTGATTCTTGAACATTACTTGGACAAGTCCCTGCAGTTTTCTTTGTAAGGTTTTTCAGAGGTGGTTTGGCATTGCCTGTTTCCTAGGGCTGATAGTGACTGGCTCAAGATGGGGCAAGAACTCAGTACTATATTGTGTCTGAAATCCCTGAGCCAAGGAGCCAAATAATCTGTTTTCTTATTTGGAGCTTCAGCTGTACTCCTTCTAGCAACCTTCTCCAGAAAGGGAAGGTTGAAGATTGGATAAAAATTGTCTAGTACAACCAGGTCCAGTGATGAACTTTTTAGGTAGCATTTACTTTTTTCACCACTTGGCAGATGAACTGCCTCCTTTCTATATTTAATGTACAAATGGCAAGACTCAACTTCCCAAGGACCTTGTCCGCTTTCCCAGGAATAACCAAAACTCTATGTGCATTGCTAAAATGAACCTGAAAATGTCTTAACTTTTAATTGGATTTGAATCCATGAAGATTACTAGCATAGTAACAAAGTAACCTAAAAAAGTTAAAGCATCAAAATAATTTTCTACAATCAATTAGAAATATGAATTTTACAACATTTCTTTAAAAGTCATGTACAGATAGTCCTCAACTTACAATAGTTGATACAGTGACTGAAAGGCATTGAAAAAACTGACTTATGACCATTTTTCACACTTACAATCATTGCAGCATTCCCATGGTTAAAATTCAGACACTTGGCAGCTGACTCATATTTATAACAGTTGCAGTGTCCCAGAGTCATGTAATCACTTTTTGCAACTTCCAACAAAGTCAATGGAGAAGCCAGATTCATTTAATAACCATGTTACTAACTTAACAATTGCAGTGATCCACTTAACAACTGGAGCAAAAAGGTCATAAAATCAGGCAAAATTCATTTAACAACTGTCTTGCTTAGCAACAGAAATTTTAGGCTCAATTGGGTTTATAATTTGAAGACTACCTTCTCACTGTTCTGCTGAGAAATCTTACATGACTTTCATTGTTCCAGCTGTATCTTTATGCTTTTTTAATGAGCTTTATCATTATCTTTAAACCTCTGGCATGGAAATTATTATTTGTATAAAACATTAAAAGTAAGCTTTTCAAAATTATGAAATATTATATCCGGAAGACTGAACTGCCCACTATTTTTACTAAAATTAATTGATTTTCTACATTTGTTTCTTTATCCAATCTCCTTGTGCCAGAATAACTTTATTTTCTTTGGATATCTGCAGCATATCTAAATTTGATGAACGATGCTGTTTCCTCTATGTGCATGACAACTCTGATGACTTTCAAATCTATTTTTCTACAGAGTGTCAATGTAGTAGGTAAGAGATTTGTTTTGCTTTGCTTTGTTTTTACCTTTGTTTTAAACTAATTCATACAAAAGTTACAAACTTTGATACACAACAAGCATGAGAAGGAATAAAAGAAATAAGCTTTGTCCTCTTTTGCAGTTTTTATTCTACATCAATTTCAATAAATATGATCAGTGAAAAAAGTAGTGAAAAATATGATAACCTACTAATTAATATATTGTGTCCTTTTTGATTTTTAATGCTTTTTTTCTAATTGTAAGGGAAAATATTCATAACATTCTACATTTCTATTTCATTTCTATTTTCTTGCCTTAATGAAAGATTTTTAAGAATGTTGGTGATAATATTTGTGTGAGGTACTGTTATTTGATTCCGCCTTAGAGAATAATATTATTTGGACTGCTTATTTGCTTAAAATAATAAGCACAATGTTTATTAAGTATATTTTAAATTATGAAGTATTTTGATGTAGAAGCATTTTAGGGGATTGCAAAATCATGCTTGTCTCAGTATTATGCTAAGGAAAACTTTAAGACATGTTGATTTTCTTTGTATGAATTATACATAAAATGTATAATTCTGGTTGAGCAGGCAAAACTGATCTTTTTTGCTTTTCATTGTGAGGTGTATATTGCTTTCAGATTCTGTGCTTTGGTTAAGGAGATTTTAAGTGATGCTGTAGGAAATACCCTGGAACTTGAAGGCGAGATCGATGGTGATACATTGGAAGTAAGTTGCAAAGAAAGAGATTTGTAGTTCTGTTTGTTTCTATTATGTATACAAGGTATATTAATGTCAGAAATAAATAGCCTTTCAAATAAAGAGAATTGTGCAGTTAATCTGTACTTACCTTTATACACTAAATAGGATTTTTTTCTTTATAAATAAAAAATTGTGTTTGTGTGTATGTACTATAACCTGCAATGTGACAGGAAAAAAGTTAAATATTAATGACTTTCTTACAAAGTAAAACTGTAGTTTCTCTTTAACAAAACATTACATATTTTGCATAATCCTTAATAATCTATATTTTTCACAAACTTCATCAGCCTCAGTAGTTAAGCTTTTTTTCCTGAGAAATTGATCCCCTGATTTTAATAATAGAAACCAATTTGATAATATTTGATACCAAACCTGAGTAAAGATCCTTCAGATTTGATAGTTTAAATGATTGATATACTTAATATTTATACAGATTTGAAATAATAGTTACAGCACAATACCTCATAATGTATTGTTCAGTGCTCGCATACCCAAATCTCTTTATCCCAAACTGGAAAGAATAATAGGAAACCAGTTTGATTCAAAGCCTCAGATCTGTGCTTCCCAAATTGCCTTATACTTGATTTCCTGATTTCTTAAAGCTGATCAAACTGTCCAGTATATAACTTCTAAAAGCAGGGTAATATTTCATTCTGCAATGCTTTAGGTCAGAGTTGCCCGTCTTGGAAACTTTAAGAGGCATGGAGTTCAATTCTCAGAATTTCCCAGTCAGCATGGTTGGTTGGGAAATTCTGAGAGTTGACGCCCAGGCCTCTTAAAGTTGCCAAGGTTGGGAAATCCTGTTTTAGATTGTCTCTTAGAAGGCATTGAACTGCCATTTTGCATAGACGATAGTGATGCAAACATTGCTAAATAAGTAACTATCAAAATAAGATTTATTAAGGACAACAAGAGCTGAAAATGGATGAAAAGGGGGATTTTCTTTTTAGTTATTCCAGATAAGATGATAATTGGGTATATTATAGGAAATTTATAGGAATTTTATAAAGATCTTATCTGCCAAAATACAGAGTTTTGGCTACATGGGCTAAGTCAGTTGTGGGGTAAACAGACTTTTGTTGGTTTACCTTTGACCTCTTTTTTAAACTAGTATTTCATAACTTGTTGTTTTATTCGTGAAAGCCTAAAGAATGGCATAAAGAAGTGTACACTTTTGTTCATTAATTCACAAATCCTGTGTTTCTATGTACCTTCTGTCTATAAAGGGTTTAGTTGACTTGTCTGTCTGTTTACTCTTTGAGATGCTAATGTCTACAAAAGTCCGATAAAAAAACAGCTGCTGTTGAATTGTAAATAAGGTTTGCCTACAATCTTCCTGCCATAGCCATGGTCATATAAAACAAATCAGTTTATTTTATTCTTTGTTAAAATTGAAAATGTTTCTATAGTATCAAATTGCTATGGCAATATTTTTAAAATCTTTTTTTCTGACATACTGTGATTTAGATTGATTACTTAAGAAAATGGAGTAGATGCCTATGTTCTGGATCCCAAGACCATGGAATTTCTCCTTGTACACAATGTTTTTTACATTTGTATCTTTGAGATAGTTTGCAAAAACTGGGTGTGCTATCCTAGCATAAGTATCTGATGTTATATAATATAATTCTGTTATAAATGTGCTAAAATTAAATTCAGAGAAACATAAATTTGGCTTTAAGGTCAAGCTACCTCTATACCGTGCTGCTTTGTAGCTATGAAATAAGGGGTGTGGCAAAAAACATTGTTTTATTACTGAGTAAGAATGCTGATCATATAAAACTCAGAAGGAAAAACAATAAAATGCTGAAGCATGAAAAGTAAAAGTGTTTGAAAGGTGAGATATAGTAGTAGTTCATATCAGAATCTACAAGGACTTTGCTAACATACACTATATGGAAACAGAAAGCTTGAGGAAATTGAGGAAAATTGCAAGAATATACTGCAGACTTATTGCATTCCACAGAAACTTATATAAATCTTTAATAAGGAATTTTTAATGTAAGTAAAATAGGCTGACAATAGGGATATTGGGATAGACACAAGTGCTATCATTTTTAAAATTGAAATATTTTCAAAATTATTGTGCCTTTTTTATTTACATATTAATTGGATTATTTTGTTCTGTATATGATTTAACTGCCAGTGAGTATTTTCTTGTTTATGTATATTGATACAAATGTTCCTTATTATGATTTCTCTGATTCACACAGATGGATTATATGTGAGAGTTCTGTATACATTCTCTAGGTAATATACAAATGTTTGAGAGAAGCCATATAACAGAGGTGTCAAACTCGATTTCAATGTGGGCCGCTTCAGGACTGTAGTTGACCTTGGGAGGACTGGGGGGAACGTGGCCAGCTCAACATCGGACATGTTGGGGGATGCCTGTGGTGGCCTGGGTGGGGCTGAATGCATGCGCAAGGAAGATGGCTGCCTAAGCTTGCCGTTCAGGTTCTGAGAGAGCAGAAACAGCCAAAAAATTAACCTGTGCCGAAGCCAGAGTCTGTCGAAAGTGAAGATTGTGTAAGACCAAGGCAAGAGGGTTTCGGAAAGCCAACTACCTAGAGGAACGGTGCTCCGAACGGCTCCCAGACGGTGCTGCTGCTCCTCGTGGACGGCAACTCCAGCTCCGATTGCTGCGGCCTTGGCTCGCTACCTCCAGGTGCCGCTGGGCTTGCATTGGGGCATCGATTTCAGCTTCGCTTGTGCTCCACAGCCTCTACAGCCTCGGGGGGTTGGTGAGTTGGTGTTGGGGACTGGGCGGCCGGTCTTCTTTACCACCGCCACTGCTGTCCCAGATGCACCCCCCCTCTTTCTCCATCGCGGCCTTTCTGCCTCTTTGCCACCACCACTGCAGGCTTTCATTCCTTTGCTCCACACTCTGGCTGCTGCGACCTCAGCTTTTCTTAGACGCTACGGCTGGCTTCCTGCTGCTGTTTGCCTCTGCCATCCGCCACTGTCTTGGGTGTGCCTCTTTGGGTGACGTTGCTCTCCGGTTGCCCTCGCCCTCCGGCCGCCCTCGCCCTCCGTGCTGCCATCCTGGGAGGAGCTGGGGCGCCTGAGATCAAGCGACCGTCTTCCTCCGCCACCACCACTCCTAGTTCCTGGCGCGGCCCCTCCCTCCCTCTTCTTCTCCTCCATTTCGATCTTTGGACAATGCTGACGGGAGGGATTTTTCTGCTCGCCATTCCGGCTGTTGCAGCAGCCATGGAGATCTTTGGCCACGCCGATAGCCTTGCATTTCATTCTGTGATACACAACCTTTGCAGAAGGAGAGGATGGGGGATGAGGAGGACGTGGACAGGGAGCCTGACCCCCCACAACTGGTGTCAGCCCCCTCAGCCACTTCAGACTTTCAGACTTCTATTCTTTGGGACTCCGCAGGGGAGAAGAGTGGGAGCGAGGAACCCCCCTCTCTCAAACTGTTACCAATTCCACCCATTTCAAATTTGCGCTAACTGCCTTTGCGGGTTAAGAACTGCGTTTACCTTGTTTGCTGAGTGTATGTATGTATGAATGTGTGAGAGAATGTTCCCACCTTTTAAATTGATTAATTTTTATACTATTATCTTGTATTTTATTGATTATTTTGGGGTGTGTATGAGGAGAGTGTCTGTTTGTTGTGTATGATAGGAGCGGGTGTGCGACCTGGTGCCCACTCCACTGAGTGCAGACGCAGAAGTGGATGGGGGCCCAGATTCGCCCCCCCCCCCGTCCTGGAATGAATGATGAGCGTGGCCTGTCGGGAAGAATGGAGGCCATGGGAAGGGGGTGGGGGTCTACAGGAATGGGGGAGGGTCGGAGCATTTCGTTT